TAAGGGCAAAAAGGGCATGTGCTCTGCACAGGTTGAGCCCTACCCGTGCACGTGCCTGTCCTACACAAATATTAATGTGTAAAATTGATAGCCCTAATCTTTATTTGTATGTATTTAGTATATTGTATTTAGTATATTACATATTTTAGTCAGCTATTCAGCTGTGTGGTGACACACATGGTGTGGTGGAGTATGAGCTGATGCCCTCGGGCAGGAGATATAGGATACCAACTTGTAAGTTAAATAGGTGCAAATTTTCTCTGATTCCATTATCAATTAAATTATTGAACAATAAGTGATGAATTGTGTGTGGGCGAGGGTAAGGTTATGGGTAACATGTAATATTTGCTGTGTAATGGATGATGTATTTTGATTTTTTAAATTTTTTATAGTTGATTGTTGTATGTTTGATCTGCTCTCTTGATTGATTGCCTAAGACAAATTTCTCCTGAGGGAGATAATAAAATGGAATACTACTAAATGGAATACTACGATGGCCCCAAAACCATCAGTCACCCCCAGTATCCCCTCTCTGAACCCTAGGAATGCCCCAAAATGTGCCCACCTGAAATATGCATCTGATTTTCTACTATCTAAATGGCGCCGTGCATGAAGTCTGCTCATGCTGTACCAATGGGAATATTCAAAACAGCACTTATGAAATATTTATCGGAACATGAAAATTTCCCTGTATTTTAATTACCTGTTTTATACTCGAGGTACAATAAAGATTAAGTGAGCCCACTGCTGAAAGGTGACTCAGTGTTCATTTACAGAGATTATGGTGAATAATTAAAATCTTTTTGGTTGCTCTGCGGATTGGAAGAGGAAACAATGAAAGGATTTATTCAGAGTCAAGCCACATTTATTAATTTTGAATGCGGCCCAAAGCACCTGCACAGAGTGTTGGTATGTTTTATTGAGAGAGCGGCTGTGTTTTCCAAGATCACATGCCCGGGAGGTCCCACTCAAAGGTCTTCTCTGAAGAATCTATATGTTGTGTGTCATCACACATAAAGCCCCTTAGCTAAACATAAACTCCTCTAACGAGGAAAGAGCACCTTCAGTACATTCAGGCCTGAAACTCCTACACAAGTACATGAATGCATGCACTTCTAGCGACACAAACTCAATTGTCACGTTGCAGCAATTGATAGCGCAGTACACAAAGTACATGTTGCATTCTTAGACGACGTTCAGAGGTCAGGAGAATGATTAATTAAATATTTATTGATTTATTTTTAATTAATAACAATTAGAATATTTAAAAATATTAACAAAATTATAAATGGGTTTGTATGTGTCTATATATATATATATACACACACGTACACACAGATGATGGATGGATGGATGGATGGATAGATGGATAGATAGATAGATAGATATATGCACACAGATTTGCACAGTAGATTTATAATTAAATTATATATTAAATTATATAAAAGCAAGTAAAAAATCCTTCAGAAAAGTAACTGATTTCCTAATAAAATATTCATACTAAGTAACATTTACATACCTGTTTAACGTATGATTCTTGCCTTGTTTTAAACAAACACATTGACATTTCTGTCATCTCATAAACAGGTAGATGACTGTAATATATCTAACTGAGGTCGGAAGGTGGTTTTCCTTTAGTGTTGAGTTCCTTGAGCTGTTCCCGTCTAGTTTAGGTGAGGGTGTTCCTCTGGGAGCCGTCCCTGGAGGCATGTGTGTTTTCATCTTGGCAAGCACTGGTGAGCATGTGAGAAGGGCGCTGTGTTTGGCTCATTTACATTGATGGCAAGATTCCTCCTTTGCTGGCATTTTCAACAGCCATTGATCCACTGCCTGCCTGATTAATCTTCTATAAAGGGATCAGGAGTCAATTAGTGTCTGAATTTCACTTTGAATTCCATGTGTGTGTCACCTTTCCCTTGAGGACCCCGGCCCGTCTATATGTGTCCACTGTACCGCACTCCTGAAATATCCATCTCCAGTCAATTTACATGTTTCCCCTTCATTCCTCTAAGAGTAAATAATACATCTGCATACCAAAGACAAAGGATGTACCTGCAGAAAAGAGATGACTGTGTTAGCTACCTAGAGACTGAATCAGGTTTCACTAGGATTCATTATCTTTTTGTTTTAAAGTAGAAGTGAGCAGAGGGTTGACATAAGATATGACAAGATAGTGCTGTCTGGCAATGGTCACAGGTCTAACTTTATGTTCCAAAATCTAGGGAGCTGCCTATTTTAAGGCATTATAATGTAACAATCCCAGAATGCCCTTTGACAAGCACAGAGAAATGTGAAGTATTAATATATTTGTATTTCATTCAAAACTGTAAGGTAACTTAAAAATGATGGTTGCACTGAGATTAAAATTCTGGCCAATACAGATTAGTTGATCATTATTTTATGTTATGGCTAATGACTAAATAAGTCTAAATAGATTAGAAGTTAAACACCAAAAGCTAAAATCACTAAGTGCTAAGGGAATTTAGCAATTACAACATTATAATATACAGTATGAAAATACACATTAATTTTAAGATTTGCTAAAGATGACATTTTTCAGTATAATTAAATTATTAATGTTTTACAAAGATTAATTTGAGTGTTACATTATATGGCAAAAATGAGCATGCACAATTAGAAGAAATTATTATTGTACTTTATAGTATGTTATTATAGTAATTTTAAATTATTTATTTAATTTATTTTAATTTATTTAAAATCTATCTATAAATATTTTTAATAATAAAAATTATATATATATATATATATATATATATATATATATATATAATTTGGCTGTAGCCA